ATTGTGTGCTCGCTCCCGTTCGCCAAAAATGCCATGCATTCGCCTACTAGTACGTAAATCAGCTCCAGAGATGATGGCAAGAGACAGCGCCTAATTGCCTTGTGCCATGGCAACCGGTTGCTAGGCAACGCCCAGAGAAGGAATTTTAAGTGAGTCATCAGTCAAAGGGACCTAACACTGTCACATATGATGACTGAGAGTAAGATCAAAGAAGTCCAAACAAAGTACGTAGTGAGCGCTTCTTGAAGAGTGGGTAGTTAAGGCCGCGCCCAAGCGCACTCTTGTGTTTTTATTTCATAAAAATTCAGTCCTATATATGGTTGGCAGGTCTGCGTTACATGTGGACACGCGCGTTAAGAGCACGTATGACCACGCCCCTTTTATTTAGTACGCGGTGCCGTTCGATCAAAGCACCTCTGCTCGCACGGCAACATCCAGTACTTGATCGGGCTCATAACTCGCAGCTTTGCGTAGACGCATGCGCATAAGTCAGATGTGGAAGGAAATGGAAGTTGGATGGAAATGGCAGAAAGTTTGATGGAAATGGATGGCCCCAAACAGCCATCATACATCATACTACATACATCATACTACAGCATGGGGATAGCCTTTGTCGCCAACATCCAGTGCCTCATCCTCCCCTGTAAGTTACAGTACAAAACAGGTACACATAATAGTGTAGTGAGTTACAGTAGAGGTTATATACCTGTGTATAGTCGCCAGTTGTAGACGTAGCCAGTTCTACTGTCTGCCAAAACATAGGCTTTGATGCCCCACTTGGTGGGCTTCTTGGGGAGGTCCTGGATGAACAGAGCCTCCCCTTGAAGCCTACCATACTTTGAAGAGTGAAGGCAGCCTGGAAATTAGCTAGGAGGGGTGTGAGAAGTGGCCGCAGATTGTACAATGGATCATGACCTGGTTGCCCTCTCAGAATGTAGAGACTGTTGCCATTGAGGTGGAGGAACTTGAGGATGAGAGAGAACCGGTCTCGACTGAGGACCTATATAGCTGATGTAATTTAGTGGAATGTGTGAAACTATAATTATGGTAGTATAATCATGTATGTTGTGTAAATTTCTGCAGTTTGTACAGGGGAAGAGTGCTACCTGAAGTCTAAAGTTCAGACAATATAAATGTAGGCTCATGAATTTATAATTATATTACATACTTTGGAGCATGTCTGGCTGCCATGTTGTCACCCAGTGGTCTTCCAGTGTTGGCAGATTGACCAGGCCCATGATGATGACAAGGGCAATGAACTTCTTCAGCTCCTCTCGGGGGAATGGCTCACGTGACCAACCATGGACTTTCGATCGAGGAGGGAGATTGTGTCGAGATGTATTGGTCGGCATAGAGGTTTGTCTGGGTCCGTCAGAAGCATGCTGAAGAATTCGAATGCAGTGGCATTGTCGCAGGGATAGTTGCACCCAGGTGTGTGAGAGTATGGAGGCAGGTTGCTAGCTTCTCCTACCTCACATTCACCACCGATCTCCAGTCTATCAGCATTCTCTCCTTCGCTCTCTAGCTGTCCATCATCACTCTCTCCCTCTCTCCCCTCCTCCTGTTGACCGTCTGGCTCTCCAACATATCCCTCAAACTCATCTTCACTCCAGTCCTTTTTATTCCTAAAGTTCAAGGAAGCCACGAGGGAACACAACACTCTATATACTAGCACACAATTACAAACTCTGCATCAAATCGGCTCTTTTCCCATGGCGGGACATGCATAGTGCAATACAATTCTATTGCACATGCTGCATAATAGTGAACTACTTTAATCCATAATAATATTATTGTGCAGTAACCCTGGTGACTGGAAGAAAGTTACCCTTACCAGTGCTTAGGCGCCTATATAACATACATATTTGCTCAGGTATGAAAAGGCCAAGATTCATGCACAACATTCTGCTGTTTGTGCTCTGCGGAGGCATGCGATCAACGGAAGACGAGCGTAGAATGCAGCTAAACCTAAATGCTAGCTTAGCTAGCGAAAGATAAATCTAAATGCTAAGTGTATAGCTAGCTGAGCGGGTATCCCCGACTGGGGGTCCATCCGCGCGTGCGTTTGTGATTCACATGCGTATGCATCGAGCATGCGTAGATACTGAGCTCAGTGTGGCTTCATTCATTGTTGTCCTGTGGAAAGCTACCCGCATGATGGTGCCAACTCTTAGCAAATGTCTGGGTTAGCGCAGATGAACACTAGCATCGCACGCGTTTTACAGAGCCTTTTTTCTGTCTAACATTCTTAATCTCAGACTATTCAGGACACTTATGAATGAATTGAAACACAGAGCACAAAACATAGAAAGGGAGTTTTTATTATGACAATTATCGTCCAACTTTCTGTCTCGCTTAGTCTGGCAATATTATTTGTCACAATCACAGAGTGTGTGACTCTAGGCCAATGAACATGTTTAGAAGGCCCAGACTGTCCTGAAATGAGAATAAACAGTGAACATGTCCTAAAGCCTATAGAAACATGAAAATCAAACAATGACAGAAACCATCACCATCTCATCACACCACAAGTCCACAACACAACCATGATCACGCAGAAATTAGACAAATCATAAAACAATTGGTTCCAGGACTGAGAATATCACCATCACGAATGAATGGCTCTAGTAAATTGTTTATATTTTTTCTGAGCCTTGAGAAAGGTCTGGGATAATTCCAAGCAGTTCATTTTGTATGCATGCATCTTCGCACTTCAGAACACTTACTTTGAGCTTACTAAAATTTATTTCAAGAGAGAGAAAGTTAGGGTTACTTTGGTGCTGGTAGCACATCCAGAATTGGTGTTTTTTGGCAACAGTTTTGCAAATATTTTTGTAATTGCTCTGATATGAAACTCTTTTTACAAAACCCAATTTCACATCTCGTCTCATAGTTCAGCTATGAATAAGTGGCCCAAGCCTCTCAATTTGTGAAATGCACCTGGGAATGAATTTGTTGCCTGGATATATCTCCTTGAAGAGCCTTAATTTCTCTTCAATCGTAATCCGCAGGTAAGCAAGAGTGTGAGGGGTAATCATAGGGGTGTTAGTAATGTCACAAATCCTAAGTAATAAAGCAGTTTTCAAAGACGCACTCCAGGACTGGAACTTGAAGTGGGTCCCAGCAATATTAGAGTATGCCTCGTCAAAGAGGCAAAAAGAAGGAGCTGATTTTGCGAGCAGAAAAGGAAAATGAAGGTTTATAAAAGACATTTTATTATTTAACTATATCTCTTCCCTTAGGAAAACCGAGTGGCAAGGACCGGCTGGTACTAGACATTCTCTGCAGAGTATTTGCAAAAAAGGCTCTCAGAACACTCTAATGTTCAAGAGGGTCTGAGAAGGTTCGATTCAGTTGAACCACTCAGAACTATAGCACAAGCAGCCTTCATGGCTGCTGTTTCCTCACTGCCTGTTAGAATGCTTTTACTGACATTCCAAAAACGCTAAACACGCACTCTTCCTCATTTCTAACCGCATTGTTGTATAATCAATGAAATTTCATAAAAAAGGCCGCCAAAAGAGGAGCTCAATCGTTTCTCCCCCAAAGACACATGACGGGGATTTTCCCGACAGCGCTCGTATGCCTGCGAGGGTCCGTGACGGCTGGGTCACGTGCGGGTACGTGGCATTACGGGGAGCCCATGCCCCGGTCATGTGGCAGAACACATACCCAGCCACGGAAGATCACGTGACATTGGCAGGGATGTGTCGATCAAGTGAGCAGCTCGGACTTGCTCAGCACACACCGCGCCTAGGCGTACAGGGATACCCCCGCTATGTCTGGCTCCTCCAACTAGTAGAATGGGCGGACAAGAGTTAATAGTGTGTGCACCGTCACTGTTAGCTACGATTTTTATTTAGTCCAGATTTCACCTGATGTAAAGCCAAAAATGGAAAAAAACCGAGATAATGCTACAATATAGAGCATGGTTTTCATGTCACTGTTTCCTCGCCAGTTTCGTTGTGTTAGCAACAATTACAGAATCATAACAATAGGCACCCCATGACACAAATAATAGGTTACACGACACCCACCAGGTGGTTTAGGGGATATACACTACAGCCGAGTAGTTTGTTTGAAGAATTTGAGGTAGAGAATAATGTTTCATTAAATCTGTAGTTTCATAGAGACTGATGTCACATATTTGCTTTTTGAGTATGTTATATACATGAAAATGAATTGTTGTTTTGAGCAAAATACAGTTTGCATGTAAAACTACTATCATATCCATTAACAGATGAGTAGAAAGTACACTCTATTTAGGTAGGCGCATGCAACACATGTGTCATATGCTGGGACAACTATATACACACCTTTCTTGTGGGGCAAAACAGCACCTCAGCCTACACACAATAGTATGTCAAGTAAACCCGCTATCTGGATTAGTAGAAAGTACACACTATTTAGGTAGGTGATTGCAACACATGTGTCATATGCTGGGACAACTATATACACACCTTTCTTGTGGGGCAAAACAGCACCTCAGCCTACACACAATAGTATGTCAAGTAAACCCGCTATCTGGATTAGTAGAAAGTACACACTATTTAGGTAGGTGATTGCAACACATGTGTCATATGCTGGGACAACTATTATACACACCTTTCTTGTGGGGCAAAACAGCACCTCAGCCTACACACCATAGTATGTCAAGTAAACCCGCTATGTGGATGAGTATAGAAAGTACACACTATTTAGGTAGGTGCATGCAACACATGTGTCATATGCTGGGACAACTATATACACACCTTTCTTGTGAGGCAAAACAGCACCTCAGCCTACACACCATAGTATGTCAAGTAAACCTAGTCTTTGGGTGGGTTAAAAGAACATAATTAGAAGTAGCTATGTCATTTGCTGGGCCACTACATACTTTAAGGTAATGTCAATTAATTGTGTGTCGAAAACGCACACGAAATTTACAGCAATAATTGTCTTGGGCCATCCCTGTCGGCAAAACAGTGGGGAAATAGGAAGTAAGCAACACCTACAGCAGTTTTGTCCTTCAGAGGAGCTGCTGCTGGCCACTTGAAAAATAATGAGTCGCAGTGACAATGTACTTATATATCGCCATGTTCTGTCTCTGGAATGGACCCAAACAAAATATGGATAGGGTAGCCTGTTACAATTGATGAGGGTATATACTTACCAATGAGGTCAATTCCTATCCTTCCTAGGAACATGAAAATCAAACGCACGCGCCAGTGTAACGCAGGCGCGCAAGGATTAGTTGGCGAGCGGAAGCGAGTTAACCTAGTGGTTCGAACGGCGTCACCGTACGTCGTCCAACTGCGCATGCTCCAGCATTACGCGCTTCTTTTTATCCGAAAGGGATTTTAAAATTTTCATATGCTGCCTGAATCGAGCGGAATCAGCAACACGACAGGCTCGAACACCTCCGAAGCTATCGAGAATTGCTGCACAGTCCAGCGAAAGATCTTTCTACATTGCCTATTACTGCAAGACCAATCAAATTGCCGGATTATGCCTGATTCGCGCTGTCGTCTGACTGTTTTTGACTCTCGAATTGTCTACTGCGCTCGGGTTGTTTCGGCCTACTTGGTCCTGTGCAATGTATCTCACTGTTTTGTGCACACACAAGAGTGACTCATACGATTATACCCCATTTGTAAGCTCGCTTCCGCTCGCCAAAAATGCCATGCATTCGCCTACTAGTATAACTACCTGCGGTTGGTGCAGCCATGATATTAGCCTTTAGATTTATCTTTCGCTAGCTCACTGGCTTGCTAAAATGCAACTACGTGTATAGCTATAGCACTGTGTGCAGTAATGCGCTGCTTATGGAGTAGCACTTGAAAGGCTTTAGGCAAGGAGGTGCTTTGAAACTGAGTAGCAAGTAATATTTTTCAGCCTGAAAGCTGAGGTAATTAAGCACCCTGTTTGAATATTACCCTGCGGGAAACACTGTTTTGCATTTGTCACTCTTTGGCAACTGGAGTGGCTTTTTACGTAGATAACGCGGAATACAAATGTAACGCGTTGCGTGAGTAGCGTGCACACCGCTTGCCTTCTCTTTCTCTGGGAGAAAGCTCTCCTTTGCAACTGACCGCCTTCCTGCGACATTCCTTTTCAATATTACCAACGCTAATGCACAAATAGAGCATGCCACGCCTTCTGGTACTCGAGGGCGTGCGGTGCGCTTAGTTCGTTAGCACGAACCACGCAGACTCGAGATACTCCCACTTTCTAGCCGGGCTAACGCCTCCGCAATGGCCAGGCACTAATGCGGAAGTAAGTTTTTCAGTAGGTGAAAATGAGCATTCCAGCTTTTTGTATTGCGCGTGTACCACAACAATTAGGGCCCCAAAGAGTTTTAATTCATTCTAGACTTTGTAGACTGTATGTAGTATGTATGGCAAAGTACTGGCTGCATGGAGAGTGTGTCTGTGTGTGCAGTGATCACAAACAGTTGCTCCCTCTCTCTCTCTCTCTCTAGAGGTATATACAGTACAGTCAGATAGACTGGTGACCATGGAAGATCTAGGAGTGTGTCTGGACTTGAGTGACAACTAACACTAAGTCTCATTCCAGGCTCTGTGAATGATGAGAGAGACATGCACAACAAGGACACTTGCACATTTGCTCTACTGCCGAAACAAA